AGTACATTCTATCAAGAAAGATTATGGTCAGTTGCTTGAACTAAACTGTATGTTCTTTAAATTATTGCATGCTTTGTTTTGTTTTGTTTTCTCAATTACAATATCTCTCCTAGCTTATTTGAATTTGGAATACTTCCTGGAAAATCTTGTCTTTCTCCATAATTATGTAGGGATCTCCAGGAGAACTAGAATAATAATATTGATAGGGACATTTGAGGACATTTATCCAGATATTGAGAGTTCCAATTTTCTCATGTACGAATCTCTGGAATCTTCTTACAAAACTAATGAGGTGTAGGATTTCAGAATTCAACAATTCTGGGGTGGAAATTTATTTCTTATCTTGCCATTTGGCACCTCTCCAAAAATCCCTATTTAATTAATTGAATTCTGCATTTATTTCTCTCTTATCTTTCCAAACAAAGTTCTCTGAGTTATAAGTACAATTCATAAAACTATGAAAAGGCTTCAGCAAATCTTTGCATGAGCTATAATTAGAAATGAACTTGCAGATGAATCGCCTTCCAGAAATAAGGGAAAAAGGCCTTGTTTGTACTTCATCATATCAATGTTTTAAATAGAAATGCTTTGTTCATTAGCCAGACTATTTCTGGCTATAAAATTAATGCTTTGACAGATTTGAAAATAAATTGCTAAATCTGTAGTGATACATTTTCAGTTCCTGTAGCACAATAATCTTTTTTTTTTTTTTTTTTCAAAAGAACCTTACTTGCTATAAAGGAAATAATGATTTTCTTACAAACAACGAAAACTTCAATCTTGTCTCTTCATATTGTAATGTTTAGCACAATTAATCTTTAGCACCAATGCAGATTTCAATCAAAAAAAAAAAATACTGTCTTGAAACTGGAAATGTAAAGCATTTTATATATGTGTTTCATTTCTCTATGGAGCCTGTGGTTCTTAAATGCCCAGGACAATTTGAAAGTGCACATTTTCTTTTACTTTCATCTTATCAGGCCATATAATTGAATCCTTAGCAGGTTTGGTAAGGACTACTCAGGTGCTGTTGCACTGTCCATCACCTGTGGTGTCCCTCGGGGATGAAGTTTTACCAGCATTCTTCATGGAGGATGTGGTCTGTAGGGAAAGTCTACAGTTTATCTCATCCCATCTCATTGCCTTTAGAGCTGGAAGAAGCCACCAGAGGGATTTTACTTAGCCGTGTCTTGTCTGTGATGTGGTTTTCTGCTCTGAGATACCTGCTGAAAAGGAGGCCTTGTACTTCTTAAGTGAACTCAAAATGCCATCCAGGATTACGCTGTGCCAGAAAGCCAAGCTGGAACATAATTAGGCTCTTATATTAGGCTCAGAATGGCATTGTTTTAACTTGCAGAGGGACATGTGACAGTGGTGGGTCATAATATGCATTTTTTATAAGAGTCTCTTGCAGTTGTAACCAGAGCCTCAGTAAACACATCTGTGCTAAGTGCCTGTGTGTAGTGAGAGCCTGTGAGAGTTGCTCCTCATAAGGAGGAGGCAGGTCAACCATATTCATGGGAGGCAACAGAGCCCACTGACATTTTTATTCCATTGCACAGTTCAAAGGAACAAAAAATATCAGTAGCTTAATGAGCCTAACAAAGTTTGTACAGAAACTCCCAATTAGGAGTATCAGGAGAAAGACAGGAAGGCAGAGGAACAGGCTGTCAGGGAGCTGCACCACAGACTGCAGTTAAACCTCAGCACAGCTGAGGCTGGCATCACGATCCAGAATGCAAGTATCCATAGGCTCCCTGGCAACTCTCTGGAAGGTTGTTGTCTGGCTGTGACTGATACACACCGTGAGACCTCCAGCTCAAGCAGCAGTGTGGGGGTGGCCCTGCAGGTGAGCTGGTGGGAATCCACCTCAATGCAGGCCCACACCCTGAGTTCACATTCAGTGTGGACATAACCTCAAGACCTCATGTGTTCAGGCACCCATCTAGGCAGGTAGGACCAATAAACAGAGAGCATGCTGCAGGGAGCAAACATGAGCAGTCGTTCCAAGGAAGCCGTTCTGCGCCAAAGTAAATTACCGACAGTTGTCATTTAAGTGGGAATAAGCTTCAGTGATTGCTTTTTGCATATTTGTTTAGAATGGAACCAGATGTTCCTCAGCCCATGTTATAAACTTCCAGTGTGTGTTTAAGAAAATCAGAAAAGTAGTTTACTGAGTCATATTAGTGAGTTGGTGTATCTGAAGAACCGTGTCTGCTTATGGTGACTGAGTTACATTTCTGAATCAAAATATATTTCCCAAGGTGAGACCCAGCAATATTCAAATTGCCATTCCTGCAATGTTAATATAGCTCCAGCATGAATAAAGCTTTTGTTGCCGTTGTTAAAAAAGGAACATTATCTGCCCTTCAGGAAAATTGCTCTGAATCATTGTTGAAGTTTGGGTGAGTGTATTACTAGAATAATTTTCTGGTTTTAATAATTTTAATTTTACCTTCTTGATGCTTTTGCATTTCTTGTTGTGGCATGCTTTTAGTCTGCAGCCAGAGCCAGGAATCCAGGCTGCAGTGATATATTAGACTTCAGAAGGAAGCAAGTTGCTCTATCTAAATCATCTAAGAAATTCTTTTTGGTTATCCAGTCTGTTTGAAATTGTCAGGACATCTCCCTTTCTGCCCAACTTCTAAGACCTGAAGCATTAGCATCCCCGCCTATGTGTGTGTGGCTTCCTGTTGCAGTAATACTCATAACAGTGTTCTGACCTTTGAATGAACTTTTAAGAATCAATAACAGCAAGATAGAAGAAAGGTCAGCAGCAGATTTCCTCTTGTCTAACTTCAGCCAAAGTTACACTGGGAATATCTGAGATGTATAAATTTGGAACTATCGTAATCACGTTTATGCTGCACTTCTGCAGGAAGTATATAAATTTCTTAAGCACTGTCATGGAGCTGCTGTTGCATGGAAATAATACAATGCCAGAGTCAGTTGTGTCATTAATGGTTTTTAAGCTATTGTATATTTTCACGTGGCAGAACTACCACAAGAGGCCTTAACAGCCAGTGCTAAAGAATAATTTTCCTGACTATATTTTGCCACAGGGAAAGTGGAACTGGATTAGAAACCATTCTCATTAGTGACTTGCTGCTGCTGAAACACCTTTAAAGTGTGCATTTCTTCTCCTTTTGGATTACAGAAGTACAATTGACGCAGTTGTTGCATATTTGAGCTAGCTGTCTGAGCACAAGCAGACATTGTTCAAGATGCAAGGTCTGCCTGTTCAAATACGTTATAGTAATTTCTCAGTTTTCTAAAGCTCTTTCCAAAATCAAGATTTTTCCTGTAATGAATTAAACATAGATGTTGTTTGCTGCCTCCACATACTGAGGAAACCAAGCCTTGTAATTTCCCCTAATTTCACTGTCTAAAAGTGAAGTTCTAGTTTAATTAAGCATTTTACTTCTACAGAGCTGGCACCTCTAGAAAGTGCTTATTGCACTCTTTTGCTTACCAAGGAAGCCTGGCCAACTAGTTTAAACTGTAACTATAAATTAAAGTCTGACTTCAGGATGCATCAAGTTAAGTGAGATGAATCCCATAGCTAACAGTGACAGTAATGGGTCTCACAGAGTGAGAGATCTACCTTGTAATTAGAGTCAATTTTTTCAGCCCATGCTGCCCGTGTCTTCCCATAGAATCAGTAAAGCAGAGCCTTATTCCAGAGCCACCTGGTGCTGCTGCAATTCATAGAGCTTATATCTGTAAATTCACTATTGCAGTTATTCTAAAAAGTTCACATCAATATCTCTGTTTTTGTCTTCTATTTTCTTGACTGACTAAATGGAGAGATCATTGTCATAGATAGTGATAGCTATAGAAACCTTTGGTGGCAATTCAAAAGAGTTGCTTTGAGAAATGCTCTTTTTCTGCATCCATGTTGTTTGAAAATTGTGTCTACTCATTCAGCCAGCCTAATAGAAAAGTCTGAAAATGAATAGAAAATAAAGCAGATTTGCTGGAATCTGACAGCTTCCATTTGATGAAAATTTGTTTGGTCAAATGTAATTTAAAAAACAAGAACTGTAAAATGAAGGAGAATTTTTAATGGCTGTTATTTTACTTAATATCAATTTTCTCAAACAGAACAAAGGAAAAGACCTTTTCACACATTCTACATGAACTGTTAGCATCAACTTTGAATTTCCTTATTTCTTCATACTTTATAAGATATCCTTAATATACAACTGTTTTGTCTGAGAATAAATCTTGTGTTTATTCAAATTCTTAGATGTGTAATATTAAAAGATTATTTGCTGTCTTTCTCTATGTATCTCCTTCCCTTTTTTGTTCTTCTTTTTTCCTCTTTCAGAAGGATCAATTAACTTTGCCATGCACGTCTTTAGTGCTCTTAAACATAAAGCCATCTTGTAAATTGCCCAAAACTGGATCATGGCTGAAACTGTTCATTGCATGTGCTGAGGGTGGCTAATGTCTGAAAGAACTACCTCAGCCTGTTTCATTGCATTTATGTCAGTGTTTGAAAGTGGCGGCTAATTCTGGGAAAGGAACACGTTCTTACAGTCTGCCCTCTCTCAGAGTTTCGCCTTAGATTTGTAGCATCTCCTCCATCAGTCTGCAGTGTGATTTTCTACCTTTCTTGCTTTCCTTAGGAGGCAAAGCTCATGGCTTTGATTCCTTAGCTCTTCTGTAGCCCTCACAGATCAGGCTCAACTGCTGCTTTCCTCACAGATGTCAGCTTACTCCAACTTCTTTTTATTTCCTGCTTGCTGAACAAGATAGTGTATAAGGTCATATCTTAACTGTGACTTTATATCCAAGCTGTCCCCAGCTACTAAACATCTGACTGAACCCGTAGTCAGTACCAGGACTTGAACCTCTTGCCAGACCCTGGCGTTGTTTTCATGTCATGCTAGACCACATTCTCTAAGCAGTGAGCAGGCAGCTTCTCACAAGTCTTACAAATACAGGAGCCTGTGCTGCTCTTACTAACAGCAGGCAATTTTGCTTGGTGATTCCAGAAAATGATGAAGAGCAAGAGGCTCTGTTATCACTGGACAAGCCCGGCTGGTATTCCCAAGGTAATGCTATCCATCTTTATGAACTACTGAAGAAGATGACTGGAAAGTTGGACCCCAAGGTATGTTAAAAGTGGAATTAAATCTTTATAAAGACATTCTGTTTCCGTATAAATATCATCAGATGATCTTGCATTACAGTTGATGATGTGATAAATCATTAATTTTTGTTCTGTATACACTGCTTTGGGGTAGAACAATTCCATTACGTATCAAATTTGACTATTGCATCCATTTTTGTTGCTTGTGTTTAGTGAAATGACCTATCAATGCACAAAGTGATAGACTCACCTTTGTTAGCTTACTCCATATCTTTTCCAACACACAGTATTTCCTATCTTGCTGTTTGTGAAAAGGTCTGTGCACGCTCCCTGCTCTAAAAGGAAGGCAGGGCATGCAGTTACTACTTCTTCGGATGTATGACAAAAGCTGCATCAGGAGTGACCAAATACAGCTAAAGTTGCCTGCTCCTTCACTGTCTTCCAGTAACCAACTATTTATCATTTATTTAGCAATGATGGGCCTGTTCTAGAATCTAAAATGTTGTACCATTCCTGGTGGATGCAAGTTTCAAAACTGCAGTCCAGAACTAGAAGGAGTGTATATGTCTTTTTGTTGTTAGAATATTTAAACTGTCTAGCTAAGATGTTTTATTCTGGGTGCTTTGTTATGCATTTCTGAAGTTGCATGTAGAATCAGATTATCATCAGAAAATCCATCTCCCTGAGGAAATAAATCAAATAGGTGAAAGGGTGACATCAGTGAAAATTAGGATCACTTTAATGACAACTCGGCATGGATGAAAAGGCTACTTGAAGGTGGTAGTATTTTTTCTGTAATGGGTTGACTACCACCCGGGTAGAGAAGAGTTCTGAGTCCTCAAGATATTCTGTGTTTTCCCATTTCCAAAGTTGTTCCAAAGTGCATTCCAGTTGGCCTGTGCGTTTTCTTTTAAGTCTTTTCCACTGCTTCCTGGCAAACTATTTCTGTCAGTCAGAGATCTCAGTTGCCATCATGTGTGCCAGTCCTACGTGGGCATTCCCAGGCAGTGCCCCGAGAGAATCAGAGCAAGGAGGGGATGTGGAGTCAGCCTTTTCCTTACTGAACTGTTTGAAGATAAAAGCCCAAACATTAATAAGATTTGTGTGTGTTGTGGCCAACTGTAAACACAGAGGAATTTTTATTAGGTTGTTTTAAAGCTCTTTTTCTCTCTCTGCAAAATACAGTTTGCTTGTGTTTTCCTCCAATACAAAGAACTTTTAATTCACTGCTTCCCTCATAGGTTGTTTATTTTGGTGACAGTATGCACTCAGATATTTTCCCAGCTCGTCACTATAGCAACTGGGAAACTGTCTTCATCTTGGAGGAGCTTCTAGGGGACAAAGTTATGGTGCCTACAGAGACTGAATCTGAGCCCTTGGAGAAGAAAGGAAAATATGAGGTAAGGGTTCCTTGCCAATATTTCCTAGAAGAGAAGAAAGTAAGCTGCAGAAAAGCCTCCCTCCTGCCACCTGTGCTGAGCATGAGCCTGTTTATCTCACTAGGCTGCTGGCTCCAAGCCTCACAGACATACACTCCTGGTGACATCAGGACCACACCGTTCTGTCCCAGGTTGGCATTGCATGGGCATCACAGAGCCTTCATTACCCTGAGATAACTCAGGAAAAGAGTCCCTTGTTCTTAACACAGTCTGCTCCTTTCTAGTAACGAGAACCTGTTCTGTGTCCTGCAAGAAGTTTCACAGAAGTTTATCAGGTCCAGCACCTGAGTTTCGCTGAGTTCATGACACTTCCCTGTATGCATGGCCATAGTTTTTATGAGGTTGTTTTAAAGTTCTTTTTCTCTCTCTGAAATATGCTTTGCTTGTATACAGAGAACTTTTCATTTGCTGCTTCCCGCAGAGGCTGTTTGTTTTGATGACTGTTGCACTCAGATAGGAGGAACTGTTTCTAAGAATGGTCAGATGTAAACCACTGATTGTTACCTCAGAAAAATTCTAAAATTTTCACGTTGATCGCAGTTGGGAAGCAGGCCCTTAACATTAGTACCATTCTAATTGCTCCTCAGGGTGAAATTTTACTACAATTTTTCTTTCTCTCTACTGCTGAAGAACTAAGTAGGTAAGGAACAACACTTAGATGGTATAGTTGTACCTCCAGTGTGCCATGCTGAGGAACTACAGTCCAGTTTCAGCAAGGGAACTCTGCAACCAGATAGCAAGAAGAAGGAAATTCATTCTCTTAGTAATTCTCTGCTTTTTTAATATTCCTATCTAATGTTTTCCCCCATTGTCTTGATTTCTAAACTGAGGTCAAACTAGGACATTTCACTCAGTGAAATAAAGAAGGAAATGTAGTCATTAATGTTTAGGCTTTTTCCTGAAGTGTAGGGAAAAAAAGGAAAAAAAAGGAAACAAAGTGCAGTCTCCTATCAAGATAAATGTGCTCCTCAGTAAAAAAAAAAAAAAAGAACAAAGAATAAGGGAAATGTGAGGAGTTACATGGGTTAATAAAATTTGATGTAATTAACTAATGCTGTAAAAATAAGTTATTATCCTCCATAAATCTTGGAGTCCCTCTGATTGGAGACTCATTGCTCCTTTGAACACACATCTCCCTAAGATTATTTTTTTTTATCTCAGCCATTGGTTCTGAAGCGTGCTCAGTGTATGCTTCTGAAGCCAGTGTATTTAACCAAGCAGCCAGAACATGTTTCTTTTTCTAGAAGTACAAAAGAAGAGTTACTGAGTGATGTGTTTCTAAGCCCTTGATAATGATTTATTATTTTATCTTGTTGTAATGCATCTCGTTGAAGTATCTTCTCTATCACTGCAGTTATCAAGTAGGAATGTGAGACGTTTAGACAGGTGTCTGACATTTCACTAAAGCTGCAGCAGTCATGATAGACTCAAGAAGATAACACCTCTGCCACAGAAAACCCCTGTTCAATTTACATCCGCTACCAGTGACAGCAAGTAAGCAAGGGAGAAATGAATTGTGTTGATTAAAGGAATAAGAACCAAGGGGGCCATGTAGGTCAGTGGTGTTATTTCATTACCATGCTGCTCACTGGAGTCTGAACAACAGGTCACATCCATATCTCTGCAGTTGACTGGACACCACTGACTTAACAGGACTAGTTCAAAGAGATTCCCTTTACAAGCCCATGGAAGTTTTATTTTTATTCCCCTCATCGACTTCTCCCATTAATCCTCTGGTTATGAGTGGAGGAAAGCCAACTCAGAGGACTGCACAAAGTCAGATGTTCTAGGAAAATTAGACACTAGCAAACAAGACTTGGTATTATTCATTTGCCTTCCCATTCATTCATTTCCCAGAAATACAGTTGCAGATTTTGCATGCCATGCTGGGTGTGCAAAGAGGGACTGAAAATTTAATTCAAGACACAATCCTCCCTTCTATCAATCTTCACTAAATATTATTAAATAAATGAAATACTGCCTCTAAATTGCAATTGCAAATTTTGAAATAACAAAAACTGTTTTCAGTCACATTACATGATATTTCACCACTAACAGAGAGAGGGAAAGAAACCCTCCTCACACTCAAACTGGAAGTAATTTCTATTTTCATTAACAGTTTTTGTCTTTTCCACTTCAGTTAAATGCCTAATATAAGCCAGATACACAGAACTGTGAAATTATGGAAACAACTGCAGTTCTTTTGAGTGTATGAGTCATAACCAAATGAGCAAGGGAATAGCAAAACTATTTATGCAATTACTCAGCTATTAAGTGAATGGCAGCATACAAGGAAAGAAAAGATAAAAAGAAGCAAACAAAAAAAAAAAAAGCAAGTATTGTGTTGAAATTAGATTCCCCTCAGATTCAGGGGTTTGTTTGCTTGGCTGGAGGTTTGTTTTTTTCTTCTGTTCTTTAAATATGTGATCAATTTCATCAGTGAAAACTCTAGGAAAAGCTGGATTTCATCCTAGGATTTCAAGGGAAATCATTATAGAGGAGCTAGTCAGCATATAAAAAACAAGGTTGCAGGAGTGAATGGAGTAAAAAGGGAAGAAGCCATTGGCAGATATAGACAATATTTCTGATATTTCTGCAGTTAGAAGGAAAACTGGTTTTCACAGTATTGCCTAGTGGCTATTCAGGAGGTCAAGCCCTTGAGGCTTGTCTTTCCAGGACTCTGAGTGACCTCAGCCAATGGCTGATTGCTCCAGGCCTCTTGGCTCTGTTTCTCTGTGTATTCCTACTTATCTTCAACACAAATCTAATGGTACTTCCAGGAACAACCTGATGGGCTGCTGTGAAGCCCAGCCAGTTAGAGGGATATCCTTAAAGCAATATCCTTAACATGGCGTGGCTGTTTTATTCAGGTACGTCAGTTCATTGTGTCCTTTACCAGCACTGTTCTGCTGGTGGAAGTACCTCAAAAACCTGCTGTTACACAGGCAGAACTGTATTGTGAGCATTGTTTTTATAAGCTCTAAGAGTCAGTGGTGGTTTTATTGCTTTGGCATGAGGCATACGGCCATCAGTGTCACAGGATACGGTATACAGTGAAGCAATTGTAGTAACCCCTGCTCAGTACAAAGACAATGGCTTAGATGGCAAACCCTCATTTCAATAATATCTTTAAAAAATGTACAATGCTTTACAGTTTTACTTTTCACTCATCTCCCTTCCATCCTTTTTTCTTTCTCCTGTTTACTAAACAGGGTAGAACTTCAGAGCTCAGCTCCCTGTTCATTTCAGTTTTCTACAGGCAATTTGTAAGCCAGCAAATCATTGTTTCCCGAGGGTCCCATTAACTAAACCTGTCTGGTCTGTTAGCCAGCCCTATTTATCTGCAGTTAATAAAGTAAGGGAGATAATAAGCATCCCAGGTGCTTTGATTTAGTGGAAAGCTTTGAGTGTTGGAGCACAGTTGTACCATCATTTCTCTCTGCTGTCTAGATGTAGTCTGTAAGGCTTTGTGCCCTGATCTGTTACAGTCAACATGCAACCTCCTCCTGCTGTCTGCTTGGCATGCCTGAGAGCAAAACCACCCCTCAGGGTGGGGAGGGGGAGGTGTTACATACCAAAGAAGAGGGTGCGCAGCACTTGGCAGGATTTGTAGCCATGCAAGGAGATGTTACTACAGGGGTGGCTGGAGGAACTCACAGCGCTCATGTGTTAAACACATCTCCAGGTATGTAGGAAAATCTGTAGGCTTTGTGGCGTAGTGTCCTACCTTCACTGTGGGCTATGTACGCTTCAGGTGAGATACAGACATCTTGTAGGCAGTGGTTAGGAATGATACACGGAGTGGCAGCAGATGCCTCTTAAATATGTGGGCAACATCTTACAGCTTTTGTTTCACATTTGGGATGAGGATAATGCCTTCTACAAACTGCACTTGTGATGTGGAGGTAAGCCAGCAGCAAAACATCAGGAGTCCACTTCCAGATGACTTGATGACAATATTTATGTCTGAGTTTGGTTTTATTAAGGGCTTGGGCTATAAATCTTGAATTTATCTTCTTCCTCCTTAACAATTAAGAATTTCCCACCAGATCAGATGTCTGAATCAGATCTCTGAAAAAGAACAAAGCAATTCCTCTTACTACAAAGACACATCTTAAAAAGCATGAGCTTCAGATTTGTTTCACTTGTCAATAAACAAGGCCTTGTCTTCATTTAAATGTTTATGTGGTCCAGTACTTTTGATGGAGCTTTTTGGTTAATCACCTGAATAGCTAGAAAGGCCTTAAGAGTTTTCTGCATTCAGCTGGCAAATTGAGTTTAATTCATTACCTACACTTAATTAAAAATGATGTAAAGTCCCAGGATGTGCATGGGAAGACAAAAAATACTAAGATGTTGCTCCTGTGTGAGAGGGAGGGGAAAATGCAGCTCCTGAACAGCAGTTGAACTACTATTTTTGATACTAAATATAGGGTTTTTTCCAACCTGTTTACATCAGAACACAGAAATCGATGTCTGTATTTATCCGAATTAGCTCCTGCCCCGTCCCCCAGCTGCACTCAGAGAAAGAACTGTTACTCAGAACCACTGAAACAATTGCTCTGTGTTTACCGATGGGGTTTGTTTGGCTGGTTCAACAGCTTTGTTGTGGTCGAAAGCCATGGATCTCTGTCATAAACATAAATTATTTTGGCACTTTCTCAAAACTATTAAGAAAGGAGTTAAATGGAAAATAGAGTACAAAAGTTTACTAATCTGGAGGCACCCGCTAGGATGTCTGTTCTGTGCTCTGTTAGTCTGAAAATGTTCTTTGCACACAAATGACTTTAACAGATTTTCTGCAATGTAGTTTGCAATTTTGGTTTACATTTTCTAATCTTTCTGCAAAGGCCTCATAGAGCTTTTTCTGGCTGCTCATGGCAATACATAGCAGGTTTCAAGATGAACTGCAGAAAATAAACATCAGTTTTCCCAATACTGCTTTAATGAGTTTGTATATTGTTGACTGAAAAACAAACATGGAAAAAAAAAATTTTTTCATATTTGTTAGGCAACTGAGTGGCTCTCTAAGGTTTCCATGTTTCTGTTCTCCTTCATCAGCTGAGAAGCAGATAAAGTAGCACAGGTGAAATGCTACATCCTTTGCAGCTCAGCATCTGGTGGAGTTACTTCTGTCTGGTAGGAAGAACTCCCAGCTGCGTCGTGCTGCTCAGATGCTGTGGCAGAGAAAGTCAGCAAGCTGGTCCTGCTATCTGAAATAGAATAACAGACAGATGTATTTGGGGAAAAGGTTAAAGGCAACTTTTTCACCCAAGGGAAATTGTTTAAATCAAAGTTAGGGGCCTTATCAGAGTATGATTATTATTCTTTTTTGCAGTATTTTTAAGTCACATTGTTCCTGAGATGAAATAGAGTTTTCCCAGAAAATGAGAAAAACACTACAGACTTCTTAAACTAATACTTGTGGTTGCATAAAGCATAAAGATATTTTTTGAAAGCTTACATGTTTTCTCATTTTTATTTCAGGGATATCAGCCCAAAATTCCCTACTGTGTATCTGAGCAGTGGGGTTCTTTCTTCGTGGACAGACTACCAGGTCTGGAAAATGCAGAGGAAACTTTAGTTCGTACATGGTCCTGTAAATGCATTAGTACTTACAGCACTATTGCAATCCCTAGTCTTGAAGCAATTGCAGGTAAGAAAGGGGTTTTTTTTTTCCTTTATGAACTTACAGTACTCATAGTAATTTTGTCATACCACAGATTTATTTTTGAGATTCCATGTATCCAAAATATATCTCAAAATATTCTGTTCCTATCACACAGCACCTAATGTTTATGTTTTTTGTAGTGTTTGCTGTGCTAGTTTCTTGTCTGTGTCTGCAAAGATTAGGTGCTTCATTTGCCCCATGTTAGAAACAGGATGCAACATTTCAGGAGTTCAGGTCTTCCCCACACTATCTTGCTCTTTCTGCTTTTGGTGGTGAGTTATGTTAGGAAACAAATGCATGCAAGATTACTGGAGCTTTCTTAAGATTTCAAAATGTGTTCCCCTTTGATCTAGTTCATTATCTTATCAGTCCGCTTATGCCATTACAGTTGAAATGAAGATGAACAAACACAAGAATGTATTGAAGCCAAGAACGCTTAGAACTGTGCTTTTCTCTCTTTCTCTCATTCCTATTGAAACTGCACCATCATGGACACAAATTGAGCCTAAAATTTACTCCTTATCTGGGAAAAAGAAGCCTAACAAGCAGTGTCTTGTTCTCCAAAAATTCATCCAACTGAGAAATTACTCAGACTTTCTACGTTTTTCTCCATCAGAGCTGTGCCAGAGGTACAATCATGACAGATCTTATTTTCATTTAACTAGTCTTTATCTCTGGAGGGACCATGCTTTGGTTTGTGTGGTTGGTAGCAATAGCTGTAGCACTGATACTGCAAAAGCTTTGCAGCTGCTGTACATATCAGTTGATTATGCAGTGGTGGTGAAGATCCTCTATCTAGGTAGTCTCGATTTGTCATTTCTCCTTACTGAACTTTGATACACGATATCTAAGGGAATAAACAAAATATTAAATGAATTATGTATTTGGCTCTACAAAGACCACAGCGATTAGTTACTAGCCCCTCTGCTCAGCATCTGTGGCTTACTTCATGCAGAAGACTAATGAATAAAGTTCTTCTGAGGGATATTTCAGATATGCCAGCTCTTTCTTTGGCAGAACACATTATAGACCTTCTCTTTGCAACCAAATTCTACAAACCAATGTATATGATAAGGATATCTCAGAGTAGAAAAGTGATACAGCAGCAGAATCTATTTACGCTTCCTATATTTACTGTGTTGCAGTCTGTAGTTCAGCCTAGAAGTACAGGGCCCATGTATAACAAGGAAAGTTGCCAAGACAGAGGTAACTTCTGTAAAATTCCCTTCTAATACTTCTTCCAGCTTTATTCTGTGGTTTGCTTTGAAAGTGTTGGCCTAGAGGCTGGCAGGGTCAGCCATGTTCTGTGAACATCTTCCATCCCACCAGTTCCCCAAACCACAGCTTGATCTGCACAGCTAGCAAATGCTGTAGACCGCAAACTTATCAGGAATTTTCCAGCTGCAGATGAAGGGGTGAGAACATTCAAGTTATGTATGCATAAATTATTGCTTGAAGTGCAGGAGCAGTATAGCTGTCTGTTCTTTCTCAGTTTATCAGCTGTGGAGCCCTTGCAAACCCTGTGCCTCCATCAGGAAGGATGCTGTGTGCATCCCCACACAGCTAAAGGACAGCAAGCGGAGAACTAACGTTTTTTAACTTGCAGCTGTGTGCCTGAACAATAGCCTCAAAGCTGAACGTACAACAATCTATGGTTTCTTAATGAGAGAAGTCAGTCTTGTTTGTTTGTGCTAAACACAGATGTTCATTATTATGGAGGTTAAGGCATTCCTGACTCCTCTAGAATACCTTGTTTAACTTGTGAGCCCCCACTTTACCAAGCCCTGAAGTTTTTGGCTGCAGTTTGAAGCCATAGATTAAATAGCTTAATAGCTGCAGCTATTTTGGTATAACTCACTAGAAGAGATTCAAACAGATTATGTGAGTTTGATGCGCTCCAGTTTTTCCTTTCCTATTCATGCATTTTAATCACCAGCAGAGGACTTCCCTCAGCCAAGCTGCACAAACACAGACTCTTCCTCAAGCTCCTCAGAGTTGCACTTTGCTGATCATATGGCAAGCGCTCTGTGAGCAGCTGCCATGGTCCTGGAGTTGATAGGTAACCTTGTTTGAGCTCTGAGCTCAATCACTAACCACTGTTAGCCATGACCAGCTTCAGCTTAGGATGTCTGTGTGAGCAATAAGCAGTACCACATACAAATAAATGCCCTAACAGATTGTGATCTGCAAAAATCTTTGGTGAGATCCAAACAACTGCTGCTAGGCTAATTTTAAATACACTTGACACTTCTTGTTTGGCTGCAAAATGTGCATAATGAACAGCCTGATTTAATTCTCCAGACTCATTTGTCATTGAAAAATATTATTAAAAAAAAATTATTCAATATGATTCAACAGAAGTAAATACTAGTGGTATTTCACAAAAAGCACTGATGTTTAGGCAAAATTCATATGAGAATTGTTATGAAAGAGTCATCAGAAGTTTGGGGGGGAAGTTAATAAAAGTCTTTGAGCTCGTTTCAGTTTTTTTAATGCATGAAATGTGTTTAAAAAAAAAAAAAAAAAGAAGAATGAAGGTCTTAGCTCTGGATTGAAAAGTTGGAATAGAGACAACTTTGACAGTTCTCTTTTTTCACCAACCTCTTGTGGGTTTGGTGCAGATGCCTTCTAATGGTTTCACGTAAAGAATTTAAACATATACCTAAATTTAGGGAACAACTTGATACTCACCAAAGAGTACTGTAGGAAAGGGCTTCACAGGGAATGCTGCTGTTGCAGATTTTCTCCATTCAAAGTATAAAATAACAGAGCATATACACAAACTGTATCTCTAATTAGCAAAATTACAGTTTGTTTAAAAAACAGTCCAATTCATTTTTCACTACCTTTCTGTGCTGAATGAATGCAGTTGTTCTACACTTTTGTCCCCATCTTTAGTTGAAAGTTCAGTATCTGACCCAAAAAGGTTTTGTATTCAAAGATGCAAAATTTTGAATTCTAATCACATCTGTAGCAAACAAAGTATTAGTGAGATTGTAGATTACTACGCCGCAGCTTGTCATCTCAATTCCCCTGGCAGTCTCTTAAGAGGAATTGACATTTTCCTTGGGCATTAAAAAGAACATTTTCTTTATCATTAAAATCACCCAAAGGACAGTAAGGGTCTTCTGTAATAAATTCTATATACTTTCCTCTGGAGAGGAAATCACATAGGGGTAAAATAAAACTCTTCATTTAAAATATTATTACTTTGACATTAAGATGATATTTTTAAAAGTTTAACTGCAAAGTAGTAAGTCTGTATCTTTGTAATATTAAGAGGAAATGAGTTAAGCTGAAAGTTTTCTAAACAGTTCAAAGTTCATTTACGGGATAGTTTTCCTTTCCTGTTTCAGTAAGCAGGAAGACTTTTCTCAAGAATTTGAACGCTGAAGATTCACAATTATACTGACATGTACATGGTTAATAAAATATTAGAAGCCAACACTCCTACTCCTGTTCTCAATGCCTCATTCACAAGTCCATCTGTTTCTTCACTTTTCTGCTATTAAATCTCTCCTCATTTACAGCTCCCTCACAGTTCTTGACCATTTTCAAGCACAATGATATTGCAAGCCAGATTTTACAAAGCAGGATCCATTACCTTGGGAATGTTACATTCTAGTTCACACATAGAAATTAAAAGGTGTAGGGATCAGTCTGAAAAAAAATGGCATTTTGCATAAACCACAGTCTCGACTATACGGTTTTCAATTTCAGAAAGTCTGATTTGTGACAAGCAGAGGCAGATATGCTTATCTATCATACCTGCATAACCTGAATGGTACCGGCAAGTACTTGACTGCTACTCTGTGGCGTTCCCATCGAATTACCAGATGTTTGTGTGAGTAATGATAGGCCCTGCATCATGCAGATATTCCAACAGTAACTGGCAGATCTCCCTAATTTACAAAGATATCAAATACAGATCATATTTTAGCTACTGAGCAAGCTTTTGCAGAAGTCAGTGAAATCGCCGACCAGTGATTGCCAGTTCTATGATCCAAAAACAATTCTGCACATATTTCAGGCTTTTACTTTGAATCTCATCATAGTTAATAATTTTTTTTATGAAAGTAACACTTCAAAAAATTCCATGATAAGTAACTCTTTCTTTTCAAAGCTTATGGGAGAATTCTTGGAGAATTCTGGTAAGTTTCTTCTGTTCTTTGTTGCATAAACAAAACAAAACAAAACAAAAAACAACAACAAAAAAAGCTTGAGAAAGTGGGCCTTAAATCCTAATACAGATAACCCAAATAAAACTTTATAAAATGTCGTGGTTGTTAATCTAGGCTCCTGAACTTGTCTCATAACCTCTGAATGGTGAGGTTTGCCATTTAAAAAGATGCTGCAGGCAAAATGAGCAATGTGTCAGCTCCAAGCATTTGCACACAAAGGATTAGTGCAAAAGTATTTTATGGGTACAGTTTATTTCACACTTTGGAGATGTGGTAACCAAACTTATGTTGCACATGAGGATCATGTGTTTCTTTAAAGCTTGTGAGCCATATGAAATCTTGCCATGCTTTGCCCATCAGAGTACATAAGTTTTTCTTCATGCCTTATTGCTATTTCAATTGACTAATAGAAGAGAAAAATCCATTATAATTTGCCAAAACTGTCTCTTTAAAGAAGCCGGAGTCCCATATCCTGTCTCTTTCTGCAGGAGTTTGAGTCGTCGGTCTGCTTGCTGTATAAATATAATGCTGAAATTGCCAGTGAACCGTAGCAAAGGAGTTCATGTTACTGCTTAGAGTTGCAAATTGTCTGCACAATGGAAAGCAGAAGGCAGCTGTGGCTGGGACATTGGAGCTAGCAAAGTGTGTGTCACAGATACACGGGTCTGCCCACCATACACTGGTTGCAAATTGCATTCAACCTTTTTTAAACATTCAACCTGTTTTAAACGTGAATGTCCATGAGGAATTTATTATTATTGTGGAAGTCATGAATTTAACTAAGCATGTGGCGATATATAATTT